ATACAAGATTTCCCACTTCTGATATATGCGTTAACCAGTTTAACCACTAGCTCCTACCAACACGGAAACACTTTCAGGCATTTGGGTTAATTAAAAGCACTAAAAATTTGAGGTGGTTTTGGGCAAACTCGATGCAAAATCGTCCTCGAATCGAGCATTGATGGTAGGGAACGCTACCTTACCTTGAACTGTAGCTCTCGGATCTCCAAGAGACCAACAGCCTTGGTTATCGCCTCGCCATTAATGAGCGAAGTGGCGACAGAACTCCCGGGCTGCAAGACGTAGAAGCTCTGGGAAGAATTCCACTCGGGCTCGATGCGACAGTCGTGTTCGTGACCCCAAATAACGACATCCAGGAAGTCGGGCAAGAAGTGCTCAGGCAGGTAGCCCGTGGGTCCGTGGCGCACGCGATTCTGATGGACAACTGCAACCGAAAACCACTGATTTGCGTCGGTTTCTGGTCGAAAAAACGTGACCTTGTTGTTGCGGAAGAGACGATGCAGACGTTCCTCCCTAACCGCACCGATTCCGTACAAGGCCACCTTGGTTGAACCCTTCTTTATCAAGAGAGGACTAACTTCCAGGGCTTCCACTGACTCGGACTTTCCAAAGAGATTAACAAATCCAGAGCTGTGAAGCAAGTCGGGCGCACAGACGTTCTTGGGTCCGCTTGGGTCATCGTGGTTGCCATGAATGGTGAATATAGGAATGCCGACATTTAGATTGGGATCAAGGTAATTGACGCTTGGAAAACTGGTCGTGCCGAAAGTGGTTTTAGCGTCGCTTAAGAGCTCAAACTGCACGGGTCGGTCGTTGAGGCAGTAGGTGCGGATCAACCGAAGGACCTCATTTACGCAGTAAATCGATGGACGGTTCTCGTGGAAAAGGTCACCACCAAGCAGCAAAAAGTCAACTTTGTGCTTCTGAGCCAGGAACAGTATTTCTTCCAGTGTGGTAAATGTGTCGTTGCCACGCAAACCATCCTTCTCGAGATAACCAACATGATTGTCTGTGGCTACTAAAATGCGCAGTGTATTATCCGGTTCCTGAAAAAAAATAATCGCTATGAGGGAACCATTGTGAATATGTAGGTAAAACTAACTAAAAATTCGCCCACACGTGAAGCAAGACTTGTTTGTCACAGGGACACAGTCACAACGTTAGCCAAAAATTCTGCAATGCGATTTTTCAAATTAAAAGAAAAGGTATAAAAAAGAAGCACTAGTGATTCAAGACATCAAAAATCAAATAGGACGGAATTAATTTCATGAATGATCCTGCAATGAAAATTCCACGATGTATGTATCAACGTCTTGATGACAACCAAAGTCTAATCAAACCGCTGACTTAAAGAAGACAAAATACTGTGACTGGTGGCAAGAGTCAGTAGAAGAACGACTTAAAATACAAGTACATGCAGAGCGGAGATTAATTTATCGGTTTTATAGATGCAGTATTATCGAAAAATTACATCGAAAAAAACTCCAGCACTTTCGACCTCCAGGACAAAAAACAGTTCAGATACAACAAATTTTCAGGACCAGAATTCCCTGCAATATGTACTCACGTTATCCATGTGACATGTGGTGCTTTGTAGTGTGGTGCTGTGGCGTCGGATCAGGGCGCAGACATGTTGGACCACCTGGCCTCAGCCAATCCCGTGTCTCTCTGCGTTCCAATGGCATGCGAGGAAGGTAAGTAGCCAACCAGAGGAGGACATGGATGAGATGCAGTATATAATGAGCAGCGTTGCCAGTGAGGTGGACTCGGATGGAAGGCGCCTGACGCGAGTCTGGCTTCTGATTGGTCAATAAAGCCTGTTCTGTTGTACCGGTCTTTTACCTATTAGGGCTCGGGTATTCTACAGTGCGGTGTGGTGTGGCGCCGGAATAGGGCGCAGACATGTTGGACCACCTGGCCGCAGCCAATCCCGTGCCTCTCTGCGACCAAAGGCATGCGGGAAAGGAAGGCAACCAACCAGAGAAGGACATAGATGAGATGCAGTATATAATGAGCGGCGTGGCCAGCGTGGTGGACTCGGATGGAAGGCGCCTGACGCGTGGCTCTGGCTTCTGATTGGTCAATAAGGCCTGTTCCGTTGTAGCGCTCTTTTTCCAATTAGGGCTCGGGTATTCTACAGTGGCGTCGGATTAGGGCGCAGACATGTTGGACCACCTGGCCTCAGCCATTCTTGTGTCCCTCTGCGTTCCAATGGCGTGCGAGAAAGATAAGCAGCCAACCAGAGAAGGACACAACTGAGTTGCAGTATATAATGAGCGGCGTGGCCAGCGTGGTGGACTCGGATGGAAGGCGCCTGACGCGTGGCTCGGGCTTCTGATTGGTCAATAAAGCCTGTTCAGTTGTACCAGTCTTTCACCTATTGGGGTTCGGGTATTCTACATTGGTGGCAGCGGACGCGTTCCAATAACGCAAATCGAACCCCAGCCCTTTCTCTTTAATGGTCAACAGAGGAAAAGACCCTTAATGCATGCTGAATTGGTCATGGCGCTCATCCGTTGTCCAATAAAGTGGATCCATCGACATTACCCGGGATTTGGACTACTGCATCTGAAGAGGCATTGGCAACTCAGCGACAACGACTTGGACAGTGAAAGCCAGCTGGACTGAATCTGCGAATGGACCTTCGATGGAGGATGAGTCTTTCCTGCAATTCTACAAGAGCAAAGTCCCTCGTCAACTATTCGCATGGGCCACTATCCTGCCAGATGTGGGGTGGGGGGAGTGTCGAACTGGATATTTTAGCAATCACGAAAAGTACTGGGAACCAAGCCAGAAACTGAGGACATCTTCACTCCTGAGGGGGAGGCAGTGTAGCGACGGATCAGGGCACAGACATATTGGACCACGGTGGCCTTAGACCAAGCAGTATACTGAGCGGCGTAGCCAACGTGGTGGACACGGATGGAAGGCGCCTGACGTGTGGTTCTGGCTTGTAATTAGTCAATAAAGCCTGTTTTTTTGTACCAGTCTTTTTCATACTCGGGTCCGTGTATTCCACACCAGAATGCTGTACGAACGGGCTACTCAAAACCATATCAGACAGGCTTACGTATGCGTTAATCTTATTAGATTATATTTATTTCTCCCTCTCAAACAAAAATAAGTATTAGTTCATTTGTTAAATGTGAACAGACCGTTCATGTTGGCCACGCACCTGTCATCTACTATTTATTCCGTGCAGCACTGTGCTAAATAATTATTTCACGAATATCGAAGAGTAATTTGAAGTTGATTTACATAAAACAAATTTTTCAAAAAGACGGAAATATGGTGTAAATCAATTTTCTTCTGCTGCTTTTAATTTCCTTCATTACCAAATTCAGTATACTGGATACTTGGCATCAATTCTTCGTTATTGCTTGACAGAATAATTGTCCAAAACAGGGTTTTAGAATAAAGGTGAATTTTTTTCTAAAAAATCTCACGCAGTGGGAAGAAATTCACAAACTTGAAGGTTGAATTTCGCCAAATTTTTTGACCAACCAATGTATAGGTCAACGTATAAGCACATGTTTTGCATTGCCAGAAAACTCTAGTGAATGGACTTGCTGTTAATAATTGTGACTCTAAGCATAAGTATAACTTTCGCGAGAATCTTAAACGGAAAGAGTCATCTGCAGATTCCGGGCAACCGAATTTATAGACGCCGAAACCGGACTTTTACAAGAAGAAGTTCCTCTTGTGTGTCTTGTGGGTCATGAAGGATGTAACCGATTATGAAATATTGTAAACTAGTTAGATGGTGACTACGGAAGGCTGGAACCGACGACTGACCGAATCTAAGCGGAGATATTGATCTGAAAATGTCGGTTACTGGGGCGACAGGCAAGTCATAATGCCGATTGTTAGATGAAACTATAAGCTGTGGTTAAATCGTTTAATGTGTTTTTAAGACTAATTGAGCTCTATAATCATTCTGGCAAGTGATCGTTAATTAAGAGTAATTCATTCACCCTTCTTCTACCTCACATAGTCATGTTTAAACCCGTAAAATTGTTATTGACTTAATCAAATATGAAGGCAATAAGTCATGTGACAAATCTTTGGTCTTTATTTGAAATAATAATGCTTCATGTCTCGTATTTCGAGCTAATGTATATCCACTAGATACATTTTTGACCGTAATTAATTAAAAGTTGGAAAGATATTCGTTTTTACCTAAGTAAAGGAAAAGAGTATCTGCCGAAATTTGTGTATTTTCACGTCTTGTGAACTTTGTTTTAAAGAAACTATTGGGATAGCGTGGTACCGTTACCAGGATCACCAAATATTACGTTTGGTCCCTAAGCAAGCTCCTACACCCAATTAACCGGTACCACAGATCCCATGTCTGACGCTAGCCCCCGCACCTTCCTACACTAACGCAAGACATTACATGGCCTCGTGCAGAGAGCTAGTCATGCCTCAGCCGAGGGCCTAGTGATCTTTCAGAATGCTAACACTTTTTTAAGTCAAGGATAACCTTGACCAGATAGGCTAAATGGGATTGTCGCAGGTGACTCACCCACTGAAGTGGCGTGATTAGAGTAATTGTGCAAAAAATGACGAAGTCCTAACAAGCGATGAGCCGTTTTGGGGAATGCTGGATCACTAACATCAACTCTAGGTTCATTGAGCATTTAATAAGCAATTGAACACGGAGGATATGCGAATGTGTTTCTGTCATCCAAGCAGGTTTGTAAACCGATAATGATGAGCTCAAACACAGTGCCCAACAAGTTGCAATACAAAGGCCTTAAAAGTACCTCGAAGGTCTAGTCAATGTGTTCCAGTTGTTGGAATCAAAGTGGCGAAACCAAGTACATACCCGTTCAAGAAACAATCATATCGACCAACACGTAACACTGTCTTGTGGACCCCAGCATGTGGTCTTGAACCACGCCTAAAACACTGAATTAACCCTGGCCTGATTACGCTTGCCTAATACCCGCAATGAAGAAAAAGACCGGAGAGGACGTGGACACAACCGTTTACTTCAGAGCTCAGCCACGTTGGTGTCGTTGTGTCGTGTG